GTATTTTGATAGAAATTTTGTATATATTTAAAGTTATTGTTAATTAGTTACTTCATTGTATTACTTTTCATGTTCTTTTCATGGGTTTTGTTTCAATTGTTTCCTGAATTACGTTGTACAAGGGTAAGGTTGTGCTTGAATTCTTTGATCTGTTATTTTTATTCTCCTTTTTAAGGAATATATTTTTATGATTTGCTTCGATGATGACGAGGTTACCTCTGTGAATTTTGTCAAAGGTTAGCATATTTTGAGTTTCATTTTTAATGTTTTTCCCTTTCTAATTTTTGTGATTTTTTTTAATGCTGTGATAATCGGAAAATGTAGATGCGTTGCTCCTTCATGAATCATGGTTCACTTCAAGTGTAAAGTTAGAAAAGGTATGAATTCAGTTACATATTGTCTTCCTTATGCGGGAGATAAGTGTTTAACTTTTGTATATCACATTGGTTTTTTCATGTCATATCCATCTAATATTTTCTATTTAGTTGCTTGATTGCATTTTGTTTGCCTGAAGTATCCTCTTTCTTATTGTCGGTATAGCAAGATATCTTTTGATTTATTTGTGTTTGATATACTCAGTTGAATTTGGTGATTGTGATTATACTTATGTTTGGGATTTAGTATTTGAGTGATTTTTTGGTAGGTTGTCTCTGAGCCGAAAGTCCAAGTGAGTAAATTTTGCTCGTTTTCCACCACGCAATGAATGGTTGATTCGTGGTTTAGTGGTAATTGCTGGTCAAGGGGAAGTGAGAAGGGGTTTTTGCAAATATCTGGAAGTCGGATTTGTGAATGCTCACATCTCAGTTTTTGGAGATAATCAAGGTAACTAAAACTGAGGCTTTAGGAAGATAAGGAATGGGCCATTATCCTAATACATTATGTTGGTCACCTCAACATGGAAACTTTGAACGCAATATGGATTGTTGGGCAGAAATATGGGATTTTGCAGATTCTTGGGGAGTTAATATCCTTCTTTGAGCAAATGAGGTGGAGGTTTTGACTTACCATCTTAAGGGTCGAGACTTTAAGCAAATCAAGCTAGTTTATTTGTTCTCTTTATATTACTCTTTCATTCTAGCTTGAAGCAAGAAAAGGGTGAGGCCTTACGTCCCTCTTCTCTACTTTAGTTAATAAATTCACCCCTCGCCCCGCTGGGGTTAACCTAAAAAACAAATTCTTGCGATCAAACACAAACCGTAGCCCTAATTGGTAAACCAAAGTCGCATGTTTATGGTATTTATGGATTGGGAATTTTAAGCAGTGACACTGTGAGTAATTGCATGTTTTTGGTGCCTTTTTTTTTTTTTTGTATGTCATTATATTGTGTTTTGTGAACTTCTGTTGAAATGAAATTGTAAGAATTGTAAGTTATTGAGAGCATCGCCAACTCTAACTGAAATTTAGATTCAAATTTGAGTAAAAAAGTATAAAACACTTGATTCAACCCTTAACTCAAACTTACACCAAATCAAGAGAAACTCATCTTTTTATTCAAATTAAGGGAGACTCAAATTTTTACTCAAATCTTTAATGGTGAGATTTTACCATCTTTTAAAAATCTAATGGTTATCTTTACTCTCTTTTAAAATTGAGTTTACCCTCATTTAAATTTGGGTCTCTTCTTCTTTAAATTTGAGTTTGTCCATTTGAGTCAATTATATCAAATCAAATTTTTTATTCAAATTTTAAGTCACGATAGGAGATGCTCTAGTAAGGTTAGTTTTGTCCAATTTTGGTATAACAATCAAATACTTAGAATCGTTCAAGGATAATCAATCTTCTATAAATAATATGGGGGATTTTTCAGATGTTTTGGTCTTATCATTATCTCTTCAACTAGGGCTATGGATCAATTGATGTCATGGACATTGAGGTCATACGTTTTTTGATAATTCATTGGTTATACTAAATTTGGCTAGCTTGTTGGTATATTTTTTTCCACTTGAACTCTTGATTGTGACCATGTACATACGCATTATTTGCTTATGGAAGCTGGTGTGCATTATATTTGCCCGAGTTTTTTCTGATGCTCCATTCTCTCTTTTTCTTATGATAGCTTATGCTCTAACAGAACATTTGGCCCATCATGAAGCACAATGGAGAAACATGATTCATGTAGCTGATCACAAATAGTTTGGATTAAGGCTTTATTGAGTTAAGTTTTGTAGAGTGATAGATAGATGATGGTAGGCTGCAGTTGTGAAAGGGTTTCTAGGTTTTTTTTTTCTGTGTGATTGGTGGTTTGGTTGAGGGTATTAGTTGTGCTTTTCTTTGGTGTATAGCTGGTGGTTTGATTATTTACATAATGCAATGCCGTAAAGTTGAATTGTTGTGAATTTTAATTTTATTTGATTTTTTTTTTTNCATCGCCAACTCTAACTGAAATTTAGATTCAAATTTGAGTAAAAAAGTATAAAACACTTGATTCAACCCTTAACTCAAACTTACACCAAATCAAGAGAAACTCATCTTTTTATTCAAATTAAGGGAGACTCAAATTTTTACTCAAATCTTTAATGGTGAGATTTTACCATCTTTTAAAAATCTAATGGTTATCTTTACTCTCTTTTAAAATTGAGTTTACCCTCATTTAAATTTGGGTCTCTTCTTCTTTAAATTTGAGTTTGTCCATTTGAGTCAATTATATCAAATCAAATTTTTTATTCAAATTTTAAGTCACGATAGGAGATGCTCTAGTAAGGTTAGTTTTGTCCAATTTTGGTATAACAATCAAATACTTAGAATCGTTCAAGGATAATCAATCTTCTATAAATAATATGGGGGATTTTTCAGATGTTTTGGTCTTATCATTATCTCTTCAACTAGGGCTATGGATCAATTGATGTCATGGACATTGAGGTCATACGTTTTTTGATAATTCATTGGTTATACTAAATTTGGCTAGCTTGTTGGTATATTTTTTTCCACTTGAACTCTTGATTGTGACCATGTACATACGCATTATTTGCTTATGGAAGCTGGTGTGCATTATATTTGCCCGAGTTTTTTCTGATGCTCCATTCTCTCTTTTTCTTATGATAGCTTATGCTCTAACAGAACATTTGGCCCATCATGAAGCACAATGGAGAAACATGATTCATGTAGCTGATCACAAATAGTTTGGATTAAGGCTTTATTGAGTTAAGTTTTGTAGAGTGATAGATAGATGATGGTAGGCTGCAGTTGTGAAAGGGTTTCTAGGTTTTTTTTTTCTGTGTGATTGGTGGTTTGGTTGAGGGTATTAGTTGTGCTTTTCTTTGGTGTATAGCTGGTGGTTTGATTATTTACATAATGCAATGCCGTAAAGTTGAATTGTTGTGAATTTTAATTTTATTTGATTTTTTTTTTTTGCTGATTTGAATTTTTCTTAGAGAAATTTGACCAAAATCGAATAAATTGGATTGATTCGCGAAATTTTATGGGGGCGATCTTGGGAACACAATGGTGCCTATTGGCAATATATGATGAAGTACTAGTGCATACATTATTTTTATTTTTATTTTTTTTGCAATTTTTTTTGTTGCCATTTCTACATTAATTCCAAGCATTGTGATGAGTTTGGCCTATAATAAGTTTGTTTGGTTTTGATTTGTTTGTTTTTAGTCACATCACTTGTGAACTAGGTTTTGTATGGACAGTGTGTGCTACGTTCATAGGTAGACTTATCACAGTTTTCATTGATTCAAGGGAGCAGTTTGATCTTACCGTTGGTCTAATGATACTCCTTACTTTACGAAGGTTTTGTCTTCCTGAACTAGTGATTTTTTCGGGTCCCTTATTTTCAAAGATTATATGCTTGTATTTATATTCAGTGATTGTTGTAGGTATTATTCAAAATACATATGCATAATCACTCAAAATATGTATGTATGAAATTATATCTTTAACTGGATAAAATGACATTGCTTAATAAATTCACGAGAGAAAGAGAGAGAGAAGGGCCACAAATTGTCGTAGTTTCCTAAATGTTTGGGTTTTATCATCCTTATAAAAATGTGTATGCATTAAATTGAAAAGAGTGTGATTACATAAAGGTTTTATTAAAACAACGATCAATTAGGAAATGATACAACACGTATAGTAGAGGATTTCATGAAAGATTAGAAGAGTAAAAAACACACTAATTAGGGTGCTACTCATCGTTGATTTCTATGTCAGTGTCAAAAAAGAACTTTAAACTCCATTTTGATTAGAGCAAGACTGAAGTCATCTTCAATCTAGTCGTTTGTAAGCGCAGGAAAAAACTTTCCCACCACCTTTTAAGCACATTTTTGTTATATCTCGTTGCCATGAGAATTTTTGTAACTGTTGCCTTTTTTAATTTTCTTTTCAATTGTTTTTGTCTAAATTGATGTACTCGGGAACTTTGATTTTTTCGAACACCATTAGAGACACATTCTCTTCCAATTCCGAGTGCTTAGGTAATTTCGTAATAAAAAATTAGTAAAGAAATGTAATTTGCTGCTATCGATAATCAACAAGATGTAGATTGTTATTCATTTATGATTAGAACACCTCACATACACCACCGAGTATGGTGATCCAGTGAGGTACTGGCCGAACTTTTCATCCTGAGGTTAAAGATTCGAGTTTTGGAGTCCATTTTGGGACTCGGAAGTTGACCACTATACTAACCTAGCAAGGTTAATTCCAAAGAGGTCTCTAAGCACTTTCTTTTTCTCCCACCCCTTTTTCCAACCAGCAAAAAAAAAATAAAGGAAAAACAACACCTCACTTAGAGTATATGTGCCCAACAGTTGCCTCAAGCATTCATAATAAAGTGTGAACCCAAAATGGGTGCTTCCATACATATGCAAACTGCTATTTATTGATAATATTTGACCGTAACGGCCTGATTTTCTTCATATTCAATGGAAGCAAACAATCAAATAATATAGTGAATCAAATTAAACAATTGGTAGATGTACTTAAAACATATTGTCTACACTTCACACTTTGAATGATCATTCTTTTCTCATTGGTTGTTCAAATAGGTTCCCTCAGAAACGTGATTGAATCTGGTAGATAATGTTTTTGTCCACTTGGAATGCTTTTGCAAGAAGATCGCTAGGGATATCGGGATTCGATCCAAAGATTGCATTGCCAATGGTAATAACACCAGGGCTTTGACTACTGAGAGCTGCAATTGCAATTGCGTTAGTATGTCCAATGTTGCGCTGGAAATGGACAAGACCCTGAGGAAACACAAAGACATCACCCTTTTGAAGAACTTTTGCGATGAGGCGGTTTTCTGGGTTGGAGGTGATAAACCCTACTTGTAAACTACATTCAAGGACTGTTAAAATTTCACTAGCCCTCGGATGTGTGTATGGAGGGTTGATACCCCAAGGTGGAAAATCAATTCGTGCCATGGAGATGCCAAGAGTGTTGAGTCCTGGCACTTGAGCTGCAAATACCGGTGTTACCCGTGATCCAACTACATTCGATGTGTTGCCTGCCATGTGAAGCCCACTAAAGGTAAAATCGTTCACTTGTACCATCTTGGGATGCTTTCAAACCAAACCATTCACTAGAACTACATGAAGCAAAATAAACACATAAGAAACATATATGAACCCACAACTGCATTTTGGCTTACAAGTAGACACACATAAGAGACTGGACTCAGAAATGGAAGATGGAAAGAAATGTGAATAAGACCATACATGTGCTCTATCATGCTATACACATCATCATTTGGTGTCGTCTATGGGAACGAATGTTCCTAAAAAAATGCTACTGATCACCTTTAATAATTGATGGTTTCTACGTGCAATATGAGCAGAAGTTAGATAAATCTTCTTCGATTGCAGAACCAACAAGAGGTTACCACTGGAAGACAGCAGGAAAATCCTCGTGATTTCTTGTCTGATCCAAAGGTTGACCCACTCATGATGGATCCTCCTCCAAATAACGAGCTTGAGGCCCTTCGCCTAGCCAACCAACGCCTCCTCCAGCAGAATGGGGAGTTACTGAACCTCATCCAAGATCCTCGGAGAGCACAACCAGACCAGAATGATCTCCCATATGGGGAACATCAACATCTCAATCCCCTAAGGGACATTACGGTGGGGGATGAATGCAGCCAAATAGTTGGCAATGTCCATCGTCAAATTCAAAGGAATGAGAATAAAGAGGTAATACAAAACCAGAACAAGGGAACTCACAGAAATGTGCTCCCACCATTCAAGCAGGAAAGAAAAGAGCAGTTCTGGAAAAAATCCCAGTAACTATAGATGCCCTAGTCCAGTGGACAGAATCTCCGTTCACCATAGAGGTGTTGCATTTCCCTCTTCCACCGAAATTCAGAATGCCACAGATAGAGGCTTTTGATGGGACAAAGGATCTCATGGACCATCTCAACACCTATAAGAACCAGATGGAGTTGTATGGTTATCAAAACCCAGTGCGATGTTGAGCTTTCGCTATCACACTGAAGGCTCAACCTTAGCTTGGTTCAATAGGCTGATCCCAGCTTCTATTTCTTTGTTTAGGGAGCTCTTTGTTTCATTCGTGTCATACTTCATTAGAGCTCGAATTTACTGGAAGCCTAGTTACCATTTATTGAATATGAAACAAGGTCCTAACGAGACACTGCGAAGCTATTCATCATCAGGCTTAGGATTTAACTTAGAATCTCTAAAAGTAGACGTACTTGATGAGAAGTTTGCCCTTACCGCATTCATCATCACACTAGAAGTTCAGTCTAGGACCTAATTTTCTCGATCTCTAAGAATCTGCAAGCCAGCATGGCTGAGATCCTTGCCAAGGCAAAAAATATATTATAGGGGAGAAAGCTCTCTTCTGTAAGGCTGGGAGCTCGACTACCCACAAGGAGAAGGAGAAGAGGAAGGACCGAAGTCCAAGGAAGGAGAGGAGTTGAGAACACTCTCCATGAAGAGATAGAGAGGGCTCCTAAAAAAGGAGAAGGGATATAAGAGATTACCTAGGACCTCCACTTCAAGAGTTGCAGTTGAGGTACATACCACGGTAATTCACTCCTCTCAATGCCACAGTATCCCAGGTGCTTTATGAAGTACAGAACAAGAAGTTCCTAAGATGGCCACCGTAGATGAAGGCTAACCCCGCTAAATGGGATACAATGAAGTACTGTAAGTATCACAAGGACCACGTCCATCTCACTGATGATTGCATCCATCTAAAAAATGAAATCGAGTTCCTAATTTAGAGAGGGAAGCTATGCCACTTTGTGGTGCAAGACAATCAAAACCAAGCTCACACACATCCAGCAACCTAACAACAAGCTCTTCTGCCGCATCAACAACCCTTGGGTGAGATAATGGTAATATCAGGAGGATTCGCTACAGGTGGGAAAATCAACTTAGCAAAAAAGGCCCACATGCTAAACGTCAGAGCAGATGACGTTTTGGAAGTACACACTGTGTCCAAAACTTCTCGACTAAGTATGGATATTACCTTTTCTAACTTGGATCATGAAGGCTGCCAGCATCCTCAAAATAATCCCTTGGTAGTAAGGGCTATCATCACCAACACGACCGCCAATCGGGTTCTAATTGTGAATAAAAGCTCTGCTAAAATCATCTTTGCATCAGCCGTTGACAAAGATGAACAGTGGCAGAGACAAGATCGAGCCAGTGGAAACTCACATGCTTGGATTCTTTGGAGAGAAAGTGTTACTCCTGGGCTCAATCCAACTTATTCTCACAATGGGAGCCCTCCCTACCAATCCACCACCACAGTGAGATTTTTGGTTATCGATGCCTCATCAGCATATAACGTTCTATTAGGGAAACCTTCCTGCAACACCATGAGGGCTATTGTCTTTGCCTATCATCTAGTAATGAAATTTCCTATTGAAAATGACATTGGAGTGATCCGAGGAGACCAGTGAGTAGCACGAGAATGCTACATTGCGTCTATGAGGAAGAAAGAGGTTGAGACCACACAACTGAATAAGCTCGATATGAGAGACGAACTAGAAACAAGGGCCACGCCTTTAGAAGAGCTAGAGTCAATAAAACTTGACGAAGACCCAGAGCACTTCGTGCAAGTGGGGTTAAGACTGCTTAAATAAATCAAATACTTTCTTATTCAATTTATGAAAAAGAAACATCAAGGCCTTCGCATGGAAGCAAGAAGACAAGTTGGGGTTGACCCTATAGTCATCATGCACAAACTCAGCGTGCACCCGACCTTCAAACCCATCAAATAGAAACAGAGAAGCTTTACCCAGAGTGCCAGAAAGCTATAAACGAAACAGGTCACCAAGCTCCTCCATGCCAAGGCTATTAGTAAGGTAGATTATCTGACCTAACTAGCCAATGTGGTCCTTGCAAAAAAAAGATCAATGACAAGTAGCCCTTCTGTATTGACTTCATTGATATAAATTGTGCCTGCCCAAAGGACAACTTCCCTTTATTTCAGATTGATTTGATCATGGATGCCACAATAGGGCATGAATTGCTCAGTTTCATGGATACTTTATTATGATACAACTAGATCAAGATGAACCCTAATGATGAAGAGAAGACATCCTTCGTAACTGAGCAAGGGATATATTGCTATCGGGTAATGTCATTTGGGTTAAAGAACACTAAAGCAACATACCAGTGATTGATGAATCATATGTTCCAAAAGCAAATCAGGACATCAATGAAGGTGTAAATCGATGACATGCTGGAGAAGTCATTGAAGGCTGAACTCCATATCAAACACACCGAAGAATCTTTTCAGATCCTAAAAAAGTATCAAATGAAGCTCAACTCAGCAAAATGTGCCTTTGGAGTCTTTGCAGGAAAATTCTTAGGTTTTATAGTCAATAGCCTAGGTATTGAGGCTAATTCAGAGAAGGTCAAAGTTGTAATTAACATGCAACTACCCTCAAACACAAGAAAGGTTCAATGTCTAACAGAGAGAATAACAGTTTTAAGTCATTTTGTCTCTAGGTCAAGCGATAAATGTCAACCCTTCTTCCAAGTCTTGAAAAAAAAATTCTGGCGGGATGCTCAATGTAGAGAGATATTCAAAGCTCTCAAGGATTACCTCGGCTTGCCCCTGATCCTCATGAGCCCTAAAGAGAGAGGGGTACTCAACTTATACCTTGTTGTGTTAGATTTCTCGTTAGGGAGCAAGACATAGCTCAGCAACCAGTTTACTATTACAATAGAGCTTTGAAGGGAGCAAAGGAGAGACATCAGAAAATGAAGAAACTAGTCTCGTCATAGGTGTAGCTAATTAGGAAAAGTCCTTAATAAACCTCTGATAGTATCCCACCAACCCCAAGAAACTACATATCTTGAAAACTGATTTCAACCTCTCCTAACTCATGAATGCCTCAACCTTCTCCGGGTCCACGGATACACCCGAAGTCGACACTATGTGTCCCAAAAATTTTACCTCCGTCAGCCAAAATTTACACTTGCTGAACTTGGCGTACAATAGGTGGTTGCTCAAGGTCTGGAGAACAATCATCAAGTAACCCTCATGCTCTTTCTCAGACTTAAAGTAGATCAAGATGTTGTCAACAAATACCACAACAAACTGATCTATGTAGGATTAGAACACCCAATACATAAGATCCATGAATGCCGCTGGGGCATTCGTCAATCCAAAAGGCATCACAATAAACTCGAAATGCCCATATCATATCAATAACATTGTCTTAGGGATATATGGCCCCTTAATCCTCAATTGATGGTATCTCATGCGTAGATCGATCTTGGAGTAGATCCATGCCCCTCTCAGTTGATCAAATAAGTCATCAATCCGTGGCAATAGTACCAATTCTTGATGGTAACCCAATTCAACTACCGATAGTCTATACAAAGTCTTATGGTCTTGTCCTTCTACTTGGCGAACAACACCGGAGTGCCTCAAGGTGAGGTACTTAGTCTGATAAAACCTTTGTCCAATAATTCTTGCAACTGGACCTTGAGTTCTTGCAACTCCGCTGGTGTTATTCTATGTAGTGTCATAGAAATAGGAGATGTACCAGATTGCAACTCTATGGTAAAGTCTACATCCCAATGTGGAAATAATCTTGGTAACTCGTCCAAAAAAATGTCTACATACTCACAAACTACCCGTGGTAGACTCAACTCTTCTCTCGCCTCGTCCTCAAGTATAAGGCTCGTAAGCCAACCTAACACCTGCTTATGCCAACGAGATTCATACAAGTCTTGGGGTAAAGCATCATGTTTTTTCCCCTGAAACCTAAAACAAACACCATTTGGTATATAAGTAGTGACCCTCTTCTTGTTATAATCAATGACGACTCGATGTCCTACCAACAAATTCATCTCGAGAATAACATCAAACTCTGACATATCCAGGACCCTAAAGTCCAAGGTGAGTAGAATCCCTGAGATCTCTAGCTCACACCCTCGACATATCAGATTAATGCATACCCTAGCTCCTAGGGGAGAACTCACATACAGTGGCTTTTTCAAGATCTCAACCTCTAAGTCCAAGTCTTTCACCAAGATGCAAAAATGAATGAATGAGATGCACCTGAGTCAAA